GTCACGAATTCTGAGAAACTCTCTTTAGGCTCTTGCCTTGTTGTCTCGAGATCACGGGTTGTAATCTCGATTTGTGTATTGTATGAGTATTGCGTAATGAAGGCCTCGGCCATCTCATCTCAATTTCTCTTGACATCATCTTCTAATTTGGCATACCATACGGCCGCCACACCCGACAGGGTTCGGCCGAACAGAGACAGCTTTGAAGTTTGCTGAGGCCCATTGGCCTTAAGATGTCTGAAAACAATCTCAGGTGCACCGTGGGGTCCCTGGACCCATCAAATCGATCAATGTACGGCATTTTGAATCTGTCTGGCAGCGTCACAGCTGCGTCAGTATATCCATCTTCGATGTCAGGGATGGTCTTGACTCCTTGGGATCTCTTGAACAGCTTCTCGAGCTTGCTCAACTTCAATGTTGTGGGGTCTGTCTCGAACTCAAAGGGAGAGTCCGGTAGGTTGGTGGGTGTTTTGGATAACTGGGGTTGGATTTGGGGTAGGATCGGGGGTAGAGGTGGTCCCGTGGGAATGTCCGTATCATTCTGAACATTAGCTGTCTCCCCGAGGGTTGGAATTCCTGGTGGGGGAGGAGCTTGCTACGAAGCAGATGCTCTGGTTTATTGTTGTAACCTCACGATTAACTCTGCTTGTTCATTCATAACCGTGGCCTGCTGCTTGGCGAACTCTACCTGTCGGACAGCATCCTGCTGCATCATTTTCATACTCTCTTGGAGCTGGCGCACCAGCTCCTCTAAATTGGCCATACTATTCTGCTCTGACTGAATTATCAGTATATGTTCCCTTTCTGTGGGAGGAGCAGAATCCAGATCCCAACTGTACACAGGTGGGGTAGACAAAGCCCTCTGTATTGACTGTTGAACTGATACCCTCTGCCTAGCTATCCTCCGTCTAGTAACCCAGGGTAGAGAGTGGTATACTGGTTGTCCGTCTACCAGATCCTCAGATCGATGGAGTCGACGACCTCTAATCCAGAGTGCTTGGGGAATATCTACTGGGTCAGAAGCAATTGTGCTCGTCTACCTAGTAAAAAGATAAATAAAGCGTATAAATGAACAGACAATTGGACAGCGTAACAACGTAAAATAAATACAACACGCAGCTGGGTATCATAACAAATTGCCAACAAGCTGAATGTATTTTTCCTTAATCACTGATCATTGTTTCCAAATCGTTGCCCCTAAGTCTGAATCTGATACCCGTAGATGACTAATTCCCAAAAACACTGATGCCTGCAGGCCTGACACTCAGACTTGCGAACTGATATGTGTGTTCCCTGCATAGATACACTCACATAGCAAGTAAAGAGAGCCAAAACACCCCTATGGAGGGGTAGGGTTTCCCTGTCCTATTTTGTCAGGAGCTAGGGTTTCACTATGCACGCAGTAGTTTTCAAACAACCTAACATCGGGTAAACAACTTGTCCTAGTTTGGAATAGTCACTATGGATTTCGATATGCACTAGGTCGAATGGTCGAAAAGGGTGCCCCGGTAAAACCGGAGTTTGTGTTCCCATACTGTCAGAGCCCACAACTGGTCAGCCTTATGGGATGCTTTGACAAAGTCAAGCCTCCGACGAACCGTTCAGGAATGGAAAATGGCAAACAAGGTGTCCTAGGCACACCAATGCACATGTAATGCAAAGAGACACATAAATGAAATCAAAACAGGATATCACGAGTTCGAGTCAAGCTCTCTAAATCCTCAGCAGAGTCGCCAGAAACTGTAGACGCGCCGCCGGGCCTCAATGCTACAGTTCGGACCCAATTGGTGTCACGATCCTGTATCTAATCTCGCAGAGCGCAATGCAAGACCGATGAATCATCAAAGAGTCCAGATCTGGCAAATCATTTTTGAAAACAGATTTTTTTGAAAGAAGTGCCAAACATGGACTGCTTTGACAGATACAGAGTTGCCACCTAAATATTTTTTATGGGGAATTTAGGAAACCCTGACTCGGTGCCAAAGGCCACGTGTCTGTCATCACCAAAGTTGCCTCGGCTCAAGAACTTGGGTACGATTGGGGAAGGTCGGCTATGAGCACCCCCTCTTGCCCGATCCGAAGATCGGCCTCTACTAATCGTGATATCCAGTTTTGAAAACGTTATGCGTTCTTATTCCAGTTATTAGCCTAGAATTACTATGTTATGCGCA